GTATTTCAGTCAGATGGTCGCGAGAGTGATTGTTTGTATGGTCATGAAGAAACACATTAGGCGCACTCTTTCCACTCCCCTTTCCAGACGGAGCCAACTTTTGGTTTTCCGCCTAAGTTTGTGACCAATTTCACAGAATTATAAATTGAAAAAAAGAAAATAATTCAAAAAATATTATTACGTAGCATAAGAAAACTGGAACAAACGTTGCCAGAACACATCGGTCGATCTAATTTTCATTCCGGACAGGATAACCATAACCACATACAGGTGAAAAAACACAATTCAGTCATCATCATCATCATAAGCAGCAGCAGCAGCAGCAGATACAAAATGAAAGAAAGCTCGACAGTTTTTCACCGAAAAAAAAAGACCAAAAAACAAAGTGATATGGAATACCGAACACTGGAGCACTGAAGAAGTGTTGCAGAATGGCACAGATTATCAACTTAACAATAACTGTATCAATCACTACTCGATATAAAGAAGAAGCATTCCAAAAGGACAAAAGAATGGGAAAATATATCAAAAGTCTATTCTCTTTTTTCTAAAAAAAAAGAGAAAAAAAAAATATTGGGCGAAAAAATCACCCACATAAAATTAATTTGTAATTTTCAAAGATACACAGAAGTTTTATCAAAAAGTTTAATCCACAGACTCATTGAAGCAATTGAGATTCAGCTATGTGTTTAGTGCTCCGTAAGGCCTTTTCGTTCAGAATCACTTAGAGCATCAGCATGACTCTCATCGAATAACAGTCCTTCAGTTTACTAAAGACTAAAACTTGTAGGACCGAAAAAAAAGCCCTGTTTTCTATCAAAAAATAAGCCAAGTCATTGTGGAAATCTGATATTTTATAAGATAAAAAGCTACACTGAACTACACTATAGAGGGGAGTTAGAATATTTAAACACAGAAATACAAAAAAAAACTTAGGCAAACAACCCGCCAAATTAGTACTGTCACCGACAAAAACTTAACAAACAAACTAATTTCACATATATGCGCATACTCTCAGAAACAATCATCCTCCTAAATGTTCGCTATTGAAAAAAGATGACCACCGGCTGACAGAAAAAAAATAAATAAATAGTGTCGTGCAACAGGGGGTAGCCGGTGCGAACATGCGTTTTGCACAGTTCCGTCCAGCGAACGTTTGCCCATCAAGAATTTTCATTGTTTTACAGTTTGCTGCTTGCACAAACAGGCGATATGTTGCCTGGTTCATAATTTGCGAAAATTTCCACTAAAAATCTCACGTACCGATGCGTGAAACGTACACGTACGTGAAAGTTGAATTTGAATCTCATATGGACGGGGAACGTCCTCCCAAACTTTCAGCTTCCTAGCCTTCTCGTTTCCAAGTTTATGATTTTTGCGTCAAAATTATCGCGTGGGAGTACGTGAGAACTAGCGATATGTGGAAGCTAAATTTGAGTGTGTGAGGTCTATCAAAGATAGAAAAGATTCTCCTGAAATTTCAGCCTTCTAGCTGTTGTGGCTCTCGAATTAGCAGAATTCCTTCGTCAAAACCATCACGTAATCTTGCGTGAGACCTAGTCTTTTGTGAAGCTGAATTTCAAAAACTTGAATTAAATGTGAGTGTAGACTGTTCTCAAAAAATTCGAGCCCCTAGTTTATCTGGTTCCTGAGTATAGAAAATTTCACGTGTCCTATGTGGGACTTAGGCATACGTTGAATTTTTGGGGGTCGTGTCTGGACACCGAACATTCTAAAATTTCAGCTTTCTA